CCCCCCAGCCTCTGCAAACAGCAAAAAAGCCCTGTCCATCCCCCCAGCAACATCTGGAGAACGTCCCCTGGGACCAGCCAACTCAGGGCAGGTCCTGCTGTCGGGGAGGGGGGCACTGGGAGCACAGACCCTGACTCAGCAGGGATGGCTGGTTCCCAGCACCGTGCCCCCCACCCTGCCTGGCTGTGAGGAGGTGCCGGGGTGGGGGCAGCCTGGAGCAGGGTCTGGCAGCTCCCCAGGAAGCACTGGCCATTTCCTCACCGCTGCTGCCGGGCAGGACACAGCCAGGTCCTGCTGCTGGGCTGGGAGCTTGTCCAGCTCCAGCTTCACCTCCTGAGGCCCAGGAAAACCTTCTGTTTCCAACTGGTGACCTCGGGTGCTGGTTTCACGTGAGAGGTGCTGGTTTGTTTTCTTGGAAGATTTTCTTTCCCCCTTAATCTTCCCGGGGCCTCAGCAGCAGGATGGCCACATGGGCAGCACCTTTTGGTGGCTCCATGCCGAGGTCCCCGTGCCATCCACTTGTCCCCCTTTGGGAAGTCTCTGCCTGTCCCTGGTCTGTGCCAGCTCCTGCAGGGAAAGGCTGTGGGAGTGTCTCTGGCAGCAGGGACAGATGGCACTGGGGACAGATGGCGCCGAGAGCCTGGGAAGCCACAAGAGGTGAGCCAGCACAGTGCTGAGCCCAGCACAGAGCAGGATGGATCCTGGTGCTCCATGGCTGGGAGCAGCAGGGCCTGGCAGCCCCTGCCAGGTGCCCACTCAGGCTGTTCCTGCCACACTTCCAATACCCACTGGTCAGCACTCAAGTGGCAGAGGGTCTGAGAAGGCTCTATCCGACTCTTCCACTCATCCTGGCCTGGAAAGCTGCTGAAATTCTAGATTCAGGAGCATGTGTGTGTTCTGTGAGCTCTCCGGGCCCTCATGGTGCCCAAACCTACCCCCATCACTGGGGGTGGTGGGTGCAGCCATCCCCCACCCCCCCAGCAAATAGAAGGCTCCAGGGGGACCTTTTTGTGGCCTTTCACTACTCAAAGAGGACAAAACTTTAGCAGGGCCTATCAGGATAGAACAGGGGGTGACAGGTGAAACTGAAAGAGGAGATTCAGAGTAGATGTTAGGAAGAGATTTTTTTTTTACCCTGAGGGTGGTGACACTGACCCAGGTTGCCCAGAGACAAGGGAGATGCCACATCCCTGGAAACACTGAAGTCAGGTCAGATGGGGCTCAGAGCAACCTGATCTGGTTGATGTCCCTGCTCACTGCAGGGGGTTGGGCTCAGTGACCTTTAACGGTCCTTCCCAAACCAAACCATTTGATAATTCTATGCAACAGCAGCACTAGCAGGTTTTTAGACCTTTACTGAAGTGGCTCGACACTCCCTCCCAGGCAGTTCCTCAGTGCTAATTGAGCTGAAGAGAGGAGCAGAGCCCAGCTGCCTCCTTCCCCCCCCAACACCAGGAGCAGGGCTGGGGGGGTGCTCAGGACCCTGCTGAGTGTGGTTTGGAGTGGAGGAGGAGAGGACAGGGCAGGGCAGAGCTGCTCCGTGTTGCAAACTCCTCCAGGTCCTTCGGCAAAGCACTTAAAAATCGGCCCTCACCCCATAGCAAGAGCAGAGCAGCCTCCATAATCCTCCTACAGCATCTCTTGATCCTGAGGCTCCGAGCAGGACGAGGCCTGAGGAGGGAACAGCTGCTGGAGGAGATAACGGACTTCAGAGGCCCTTTGATTTTTCTAAGAACTTTTATTCAAACACAGTGAATTAATACCCATGGTCCAGCTTTGACACAATGAGTCAGCTCTGCCCTCCCCTGAGGACATGGCCCCAGAGGAGTTCCAACATCCCCATCTCCTTCCAGCAGCCTCAGGGGGAATTCAAGCAAGTGAGTGGAAGTGCAGGAACAGGGCAGGACTGCAGCAGCACCTCCAGCAAGGGCACAGAGCAGAGCAGAAACAGTGGCTTGAGGACAAAAAAGAAATAAAACCCTGGAGAAGTTGCTGCAGGAGCAAGTCCTGGGCAGGGATGAGAGCAGCAATCACAGCCTCATGCCCCTGCATCCAAGCCCTCAGCCCCAGCAGGACACAGGAACACCTTATGGACTTTCTCCTTGCTGCTTCCAGAGGTGACTGTGGTTTATAAAGAGAAGAGTTTGTTCTTGGTCTAGGGGAGCAGGGGTTGAAGCCCCACTCCCTCATTGCCAAAAAAACCAAAAAAAGGCTTTCTTCTTCCATGGTGGCTGTCAGACCTTCCCTCACAGCTTGTCCAGGAGCTTGGCCACCAACACGGAGAGTTTGGGGTTATTGGTGCCCCCAGAGCCCGTGTAGCCCCTCAGCTGCAGCCCCAGGGGACACACTGTGGCACAAACCACTGCAGAGGCCCTTGTTCCCTGCCGGCACCGGGAACCATCCAACGCATCGAAAATTCAGTCAGACCAGCATCTTCAAATTAACAAACTGTAATTTTTTTTTTCTCCAAAGATACATTTTCCATACACATCCATCATACACTGTAACAAAAAAAAGCAGTGTACATGAAATAAGAAAATAAATTAAATCCATAGCATAGGTAAGGAGGACGCTCTAGACCGGAGCAGAGTCGAAAGTTTCCAGCGATACAAGAGGCTCAAAAGTTTGTTTTAACAAGGATGTCTGCGAGCAAGGGTCCAGCAAGTGTTTTAGGTCAGTCCAACTGCTTAAACAGTTTTATTTTTAGAGTTTTTAATAGCCATTATTGTCCTGCAACAGGCAGAGCTATTACATCCTGGGAGAAAGCCAAGAGGCGTCATCAAGATCCAAGGAGAGCATCCGGAGATGAGGGGGTTGGTCCTGCAGTGCCCACGCTACCCGTCCTCCTTGGGTGGTGTGTACCAGCCTGAAATGAGGAGAGACCCATCAGGGATGAGGCTGCCTGGGAACACCACCCTATGCTGGGAAACACACAGCTGGAAAAGCTGCTGGTGCCAAGTGCCACTTTCCCACTTCCCAAGTCACCCAGGTCACCAAGAGGTTTTCCCTCCAGGTCGTTCCTCAACACCAGCTGGACAATGACACGTGTCCCTGGTTGCAGCTGGAGGAGCCCAGCACTGATGGGGCAGAGGGACACAGCAGCCACTGCTGGCCCACCTGCAATCTCACCCCAGGTCTTCTCTGCACGTGGGGCAGGAAAAACTCAACTCCAGTGGCTCATTGGGAGGCTCAGCTTGGGCAGTACAGGGAAAGCAGCTCCTCTCCTCAGCACTTACCATTCTTCTCGTGGATCTGGACCAGGGACTTGTAGGACTGCTGAGCTCTGGTCAGGCTGTACTGGTTCTGCAAGGGAAGCCAGGGGAAGCATCAGGCACTGGTACCACCCACCCGCACACCACAGAGCCAGTTTCCACTCATCCCACAGAACCATGGAACCACAAAGGTTGGAAAAGACCTCCAAGATCATCAAGTCCAACCATAAACCCAGCATCACCATCCAACCAAACCAGGTCCTAAAGTGCTACACCCACGTTTTCTGAACCCCTCCAGGGATGGGGACTCTACCCCTGCCCTGGGCAGCCTGGGCCAGGCCCTGACAACCCTTCCCAGGAAGGAATTGTTCCCAAGATCCAATCTCAACCTCCCCTGGGCAACTCGAGGCCATTCCCTCTTGTCCCATCCCTTGTTCCTGGGGAGCAAAGCCCAACCCCCCTGGCTCCAATCAGGCTCAAGCAGTTGCAGAGCCAGGTTTCCCCTCACCTCCTGGTCCCCAGGCTGGACACCCCCAGCTCCTTCAGCTGCTCCTGCTCCAGGCCCTTCCCCTGCTCTGTTGCCCTTCTCTGGACAAATTCCAGCAACCCACTCTCCTCCATCCCACACCCAACTGCTCCTTAAGCTCTCTTGCTCTACCCAGGCCCACCTTGTTGGCTCCAAACTGGACTCGTGCTTTCCCCTTCACCAGAGTCGCACTGATCTGCATGATGACCGACTCGATGGAGTAGGCACTGCTCCAGCCCTGAGGGACAGAGGGCCCAGGGTGAGGACCCCAGGGTGAGGACCCCAGCCTCCCCACCACCTCCCCGAGCCCAGCACAGGCTCAGCAAAGCCACACAGGCAGCTGCCAGGCAGGATTTGGCTGCCAGACAGCCCTGAGGAGCAGGACTACAAAGCCCAGCAGACAGCAAAGTGACCCAGGAGCTCCTGCCAGGACACACCTGCTTTGTGAGCAGCTCCATGCAGATGGCACCACCCCCCAGAACGTACCTGGGGAAGGAATTGGGCAGAGTTAGGTCAGAGACTGACACAGCCTCACCCACCCGTGGCTCCAGAGATCAACACTTGTTTTCTCAGAGTAGATCTCAGGTGGAAAAATATACAAACAAAAAAAAAGTCCACCACTCCCATCCAGGCTTCCCAGAACTACTACACTCTGGGCTCAGGGAGATTATGGGACTGGGAAGAGATAAACTGCAGGAAGCACTGCTGGAGACAGAGGCACAGAGTCACCTTGGTTAGCAAAGACCTTCAAGATTATTGAGTCCAACCATCAACCTGCCAGTGACAAGCCCTTCACTAAACCACATCCCAGAGTGCTGTGTCTACACAACTAACTCTTCATTCCCCCAGGTACCTCCAGCAGAGACAGGCAGGCACTTACCCCCCTGACAGCACCGGGGACACGACCCTTACGAATGGCGGATCAAAAGGAAAGTTATCCTGGAATGAGAGAAGGAAACGTTGGGAAACGTCTTCTCCGCCCACTTTCCCAGGTGGTAACACCTGGAGGGGGGTGTGGGAAGCCTCCTTACTTTAAAGGAGAAGTTTAGGAGAATGAAATCTGTTCCTTCTTTCTCTTTGAGGATCTGGAGATCATTGTGCAAAGCGCTGTCCTCGTCAACCCTGCCCAAGGAAGAACCCAGAGGGTGAGAGCCCAGGTGGGGCAGCTCAGACCAGCCCTGCCCGTGGCCACCGAGCTGTCCTACCTGCACCACCGGCTGCCACCGGGTGTCACCCGGGGGCAGTGACAGCACGGGCTGCCAGCATTCTGCTCCAGCTTTGCAGAGATGACCATCACACCCTTTTTGCATGCTGCCAGCTTAAAAATAAAGACTGCCTGGTGCAGGGAAAAGGCAGCACTGGTGTCTGGAAGGGTGTGAAAGCTCAGGGTTTGTCTGATGAACCTCTTCCAGGACTCTAGGAACAGCAGACAGACTTGCAGAGCCCTCAGATTATCTCATCCTTCTCTGGAGATGTCATCTCCTTTCTGGTGTGGAGACAGCAAGCAAGCTGCCCCAGAGATGCTAACCCCAGACCTGTCAGGTGCTCCCCTGCCCTGCTCACTTCCCCTCTGGCTCACAGGGACATTTTGGTCCCACCACCAAGCTCCACCACAGCTGTATGACCCCAAAGCTCTGCCACCTACTTCAGGAGTTTGACGTTCCAATCATACAGGCTGTCGTTGACTAGTTCAACTGCATAGTATCCTGCAAGGTGAGAAGAAACACATCATGATGGGGGAGGTGGAGCCACCACCCAGATCTCCAACCCCCTTGGCACTGCAGCACCACATCAGCCTAGCACAGAACCCCCCAGAAAAGCAGTACTTATCCAGAGGGACCCTCCTGAGGGCAGCAGGTTTCCCACCACTGCTCTTTCCTGAGTCCCTGGGGTCCCCAAAGGGGTAGGAGCACCATCACCCTCAGAGGCAGTCAACCCTCCCTCCCACAGCAGGCTCCTCACTTCCAGCCAGCAGGGAAGGATAAGGCAGAGAGAAAGGTGAGGCAGCGCTGCTTGGTCTTGACAGAGCCACCAGCACTGGAGGCTGGAGATCCTCTCCCCAGCTGAGCAGAGCAGGATGGTTCTGGGTGGTGCCACCCAGGAGCAGCACCCACCCCAGGGTGGCAGCCCCTGCCCCAGCAGCACTTACCGCCCTTGAAACTTGGTGATCTGTAAATATCCCTGAGCTCCTTCATTAGCCGGTCGGTGGCCTGCACAGACCCAGACACTGCACCCTGCCAGGAATGGGGGAGGTGGCACTGTGACACTGCACCCACCATGTCTGGTGCTCTGTGCGGCCAACACCCCAGCTAGGACTCCCACCCAGCCTCTAAACCAGACCTCACTGTGTCCCTTGCCTCTCTGCCTCCCCCTTTCCCCCAGGAGCAACTTCTCTCACCACAAAGATGCCACCCCAGGCAGCAGAAATGCCTCCGTGCCCTCCCAACTACCCAAGAAGTCCAAAATCCCAACCCACTGGCCACCTCCATGGCCCACAGCGGGGTGCAGCTCCTGGGAGCAGAGGGACACCCCAGACCTCACTGCAGGAAGGCTGCCCCACGTAGCACCAAGGCTCTGGGGACACCTGAGGCCCACACTTATTTTCCTGAGCCAAAGAGGCAGCTCATGGACTTCCCCCCCCCACCCCCCCCAGCCCCTGAGAGCCCTTTGGCCAGGGACAACCCCTTGGCTTTAGGTCCCTCTGCTTCCCCAGCCCACCCACCCACCGGGTGACACGTACATTTAAGTAATCTTGCCTCTGGTTCTTTTTTATTTTCTCTAAAATGGCCAGGTTCTCCTTCCCAATGCCTTCATCTTCTGTCTTCTTCCCATCTGCTGGCTCTTCCTCTTTCATCTCATAGTGGTCCAAGTCCTCAGTGTCCTGGGAAGAGGAAAGGAGAGCTGGGGGGACTCATCCCTACTCCAAGTGCTGCTGCCAGGAACCCTTGGGGTGAACAGGAACCCCATGAACTGGGAAGGATTCCCAGTGCAGTTTTCCCTCCCCACGAGCTCCAAGCTCTGATCAGAGGCAAAAACCAGGCCCAAGGACTGGGCACACTCAGGAAACAAGTGTCAGGCCCCACCACCCTCCCATGCCAAAGCCAGCAGAGTGGCACACTTCCCTTTCCAACATGGCACTTCCCTTTCCAGAATTAAACTGGGGTCACACAAGCTCTTTGTTCCCTGGGTTCTTCCCTGCCAAGTCTCACGCCTGTTTATCATTAGCTGTTCATCTCAGGGGTGCACCCTAAGGAGCCCTGTGGAACTGAAGGGTGCTGTGGTTCCAGGGAGCTGGGAGGAGCAGACACTGCACCACCAACCAAACACCAACACCCCCTCAGCAGCCCCAGGGGCACAGACTCTCACCCCCAGCATTTAGCACCACAGCATATTTTCCCCTCAGAGAGGGGACACGTCCCTGTGTGTCCATCAGCTGCTTGTCCTTCAGCTCAGGACACCCCGGGGCTCTCACAGAACCACAGGATGGTTCTGGTTAGAAAAAGCCTGTAAGACCATCGAGTCCAACCATAACCCAACTCTACCAAGTCCAGTGCTAACACATGTCCCTCAGCATCACTACAGGGCTCTAAAACAACACCAGGGATTCAACCACCCCCCAGGCAGCCTGAGCCAGGGTTTAATTACCCTTTTGGTGAAGACGTTTATCCTAAAATCCAACCTCAACCTCCCCTGGGCAACTTGAGGCCCTTTCCTCTTGTCCCATCCCTTGTTCCTGGGGAGCAGAGCCCGACCCCTCTGGCTCCAACCTCCTCTCAGGCAGTTGCAGGACCAGGTCTCCCCTCAGCCTCCTGGTCTCCAGGCTGGACACCCCCAGCTCCCTCAGCCCCTTCTTGCAAGTTCTCCAGCCCCTTCCCCAGCTACACTGACCTTCTCTGGACATGTTCCAGCCCCTCCATGGCCTTGTCGTGAAGGCCCCAAAACTGACCCCAGGATTTGACACAGGCTCTGCCCCTCACCCTGTGCCACATCAACACTCATCAGGCTGACATGTGAGACCCCAATGTTCATCACCAGTAAAATC